TTTATAAAATAGATTAGAAAGGATGGGTAGGCCTGCTGGCTAACACCGGTATTCCTAGCACTTTGGGATACCAGCTCTGGAGAATTGCTTGAGGCCAGGAGTTCAAGGCCAGCTTGGGCAATAGTGAAACCTCAGTCTCTACAAAAAATAAAAAATTAGCTGGCTGTGGTGGCACATGCCTACCGTCCCAGCTACTTGGGAGGCTAAGGTTGGAGGATCCGATTGAGCCCAGGAGTTTGAGGTTACAACAAGCTGTAATAATGCCACTGTACTATAGCCTAGGTGACAAAGTGAGATTCTGTTCTTCCCCCCCAAAAAAATAATAAATAAATAACAGATGTTTATCAGATCTTACTGAGAACCAGAATTAGAGCACTGGGGATTAAGAGGGCAGGGGATATATCCAGTCAGGTTTGAATCAGCCTGGTTTTGCTAAGTCTGGGTGGGGAGCATTAACAATGACTCATCAGGCTCACGCCTATAATCCCAGCTCTCTGGGAGGCTAAGGTGGGTGGATTGCCTGAGCTCACAGGTTCGAGACCAGCCTGAGCCAGAGTGAGACCTCATCTCTAAAAAAAATCGCTGGGTGCTGTGGCAGGTGCCTTTAGTTCCAGCTACTTGGGAGGCTGAGGCAAAAGAATAGCTTAAGCCCAGGAGGTTGAGGTTGCTGTGGGCTATGACACCGTGGCACTCTACCAAGGGTGACAAAGTGAGACTCTCTCTCTCAAAAAAAAAAAACCCCAACTCAGTGGCCAATTAAATGCTTTTGAAGCTTTTGAATTCACTGTTTGTTGTGAGACTTTTGTATACTAACGATCATACAAATATATTTAACACAGACAATAATAAAATTGAAGAAAAACAAATTACAGAATATGACTTGGAAAACCAACACATTGACAAACTGAATAGGTCCATATATATTTTCCTCAAAACTCTGCAGGGGCTGTTTGGTGGGTGTATGAGTATGGAAGGGTTACAGCAGTCATTACTGCTAAAAAAAGAGGACTCAAGAGTTCACACAGACAGAACTCCTATAGGTGTTTTGGCTGTGGTCAGTTTCTTTACTGTTTCTTTTTTTGCCCCTGAACGAGAGTAACCATAGCCATTAATCTCAATGCCTTTTAAGTTTACTTTCTTATCTGGCCCTGGTCTACTATATGTATTTATCACCTTAAGGGGTTAATAATTTCACTATAGACTGAGTAATTTGTCATAGTGACTCCATTTTGAGATATTTAAGATCTCAAAACATTATTATATATCAGCATAGAATTCATGAAGATATTTCTGAAAGAATTGATGAGGTTCTTAGCAGTGATGATAGAAGAGAAGGAATTAAGCATAGTCAAGAGTGTCTTTTAAGTGTGATCCACTGGGAAGCAACTCCAGAGATTAGGAAATACTGAAATATGTATCACATCACAGAATACTATGAAAAAGAATGAAGTAATGTCTTTTGTAGCAACTTGGATAGAACCGGACCATTATCCTAAGTGAAGTAACCAGAAATAGAAAAGCAGACCCCAAATGTTCTCACTTATAAATGGGAACTAAGCAATGGGTATATGTGGTCATGCAGAGTGACATAATAGACGTTGGAGACTCCAAAGAGGGAGGATGAAAGAGGGGTGTGGGATAAAAAATTGCCTATTGGGTACCATATGCGTTATCCAGGTGATGGGTACACTAAAAGCCGAGACTTCTCTACTATACAATTCGTCCATGTAACAAAAATCCATTTGTACCCCTAAATCTATTAAAATAAAACTTTTTAAAAAGAAGTAAGTTGAGGCTATGGGACCAAAAAAATAAAAAATTGAGCTCATTGCACTAGAGAGTAGAATTGTGGTTATTAGAGGGTATATGTGGGGACAAAGGAGAGGATAGGGACAGGTGAGTTGACGGATACAAAATTACAGCTAGATAGGAATCAGTTCTATTCTATAGTACTATAGGGTGGTTATAGTTAATAGTTTATTGTGTATCTAGTTTATTATATATGATGTACATATAATCATTATATGTATTTCAGAGGATTTTGAATGGTCCCAGACACACAGAAAAAAAGAAAAATGTCTGAGGTGATTGGATATGCTAAGTACACTGATTTGATTGTTACACATTCTGTACGTATACTAAAATATCACTTCAGGGCAGCACCTGTGGCTCAGAGAGTAGGGCACTGGCCCCATATCCTGAGAGTGGCCAGTTCAAACCCAGCCCTGGCCAAATTGCAACAAAAAAATAACTGGGCCTTGTGCCAAGCGCCTGTAGTCCCAGTTACTTGGGAGGCTGAGGCCAGAGAATCGCCTAAGCCCAGGAGTTGGAGGTTGCTATGAGCTGTGTGATGCCATGGCACCCTACAAAGGGTGATAAAGTGAGACTCTGTCTCTACTAAAAAAAAAATCACTCTGGGCGGCACCTGTAGCTCAGTGGGTAGGGCACAGGCCACATACACTGAGGCTGAACCCAGCCTGCCAAACAACAGTGACAACTGCAATAGCAATGATAATAGCCAGGTGTTGTGGCAGGCGCCTGTAGTCCCAGCTACTTGGGAGGCTGAGGCAAGAGAATTGCTTAAGCCCAAGAGTTTGATGTTCCTGTGAGCTGTGACACCATGGCACTCTACTGAGGGTGACATAATGAGACTCTGTCTCAAAAATAAATAAATAAAAGAATAAAATAATCACTCTGTACCCCATGAGTAAGTACAATTATTACATGTCAACTAAAAGAATTTTTAGTAGATTTTTTGTTGCAACATAGAGAGGAGAGAACACATATCTTAAAGAATATAGAGTCTTAGCTCAGCACTCATAGCTTAGTGGCTAGGGCCCTGGCCACATGCACTGAGGCTGGCGGGTTTGAACCCAGCCCAGGCCTGCTAAACAGCAATGACAACAAAATGGCTGGGCATTGTGGTGGGCACCTGTAGTAGTCCCAGCTACTTGGGAGGCTCAGGCAAGAGAATCGCTTAAGCCCAAGAGTCTGAGGTTGCTATGAGCTGTGATATCACAGCTCTCTACCAAGGGTGACATAGTGAGACTCTGTCTCAAAAAAAATATATATATGTATACACACACACACACACACATAGTGCGTCTTGAAGCGAGGGACCGAACTAAGCATTTTCTGTCTTTAACCAGCACTTAGGCAGAATAAGATTGTTGGGAAAGGGTTTGCAGGCTCTTCAATCACTTTAATGATTACCAGACTCTTAGATGATTCTTGAAGTCCTTCAGTAAAACCCGTGATTTCTAACTACATGTTTTTCTATATTGTATGAACAAATTTTTAGATGTTTAAGAACTGAAGATTCTTCTAAAAGTTTTTTCTTCTTCTTGAGATGCAGCTAGAGTGCAGTGACACAAGTATAGCTAGCTCACTGCAAATTCAAACTCCCAGGTTCAAAAATCCTGCTGGCTCCATCTCCCAAGTAGCTGGACTACAGACGCATGCCTCCTCAGGAGGAGGGGTCTGACTATGTTGCACAGTCAGGTCTTGAGCTCCTGGCCTCCCAGAGTGCTAGGATTACAGGTGTGAGCCACCACGACTAACCAGTAACCAGTTTCATTTAATATGGAAAAACTATCCTTTTGTCCTGTCACACACACTAGACTATTCAATTCAAAAGTTAAAAATCTGATAAAATGAATTTGCTTGGGGCCTTTTATAAAATAAGGAGAAGCAAACTCTGTGAAGTCACCTGTTTTGGAATTCCGGTTTATTTTCAGTGTCACTTACTCATAAAGACCTTCTCCTTCCCTTTAGTCTTAATTAAGTCTCTTTGTAAAAGTTACTCTTTCTCATAGCACTTTATTTTAAATTGCATTCATTACACTTATTAACAATTATTCATGTATAATATGTTATTTGGGTGTTCATTTTGTTTAATTTCTCCACCTGTGCTAGACTGCAGGAACCATATTAGTTTTCTGCACTACTGGGTCCTTAGTGTAGTCAGTAAAGACTTTGAGCAAAAGAGCGAGTGAGTGAGTGATTGAGTGATGACCCCGTTTAGTGTCTTATTAGCAATGTAATATGCTGTCTAATTAAGCAGCCTTCGTTTAGTGTGAAGAGAAGGGAATGTTTCTTGAAAATGAATAAGAAGGAGGTGTGGAGAAAATTTTCTGGGGCGGTGCCTATGGCTCAAGTGGGTAGGGCGCCAGCATATGGAGGGTGGTGGGTTTGAACCTTGCCTTGGCCAAACTGCAACAAAAATAGCTGGGCGCTGTGGTGGGTGCCTGTAGTCCCAGCTACTCAGAAGACTGAGGCAAAAGAATCACCTAAGCCCAGGAGTTGGAGGTTGCTGTGAGCTGTCATTTTACAGCACTCTACCAAAGAGTAGAGGCAATAAGGTGAAACTCCTGTCCCTTAAAAAAAAAAAAAAGAAAGAAAGAAAATTTTTCTTTGAATTTAGGAATGTTGAAGTTATTCATTACCTTAGTGAGGTCAATTTTAGTATGAAGAAATGCAAAACAGATTACACTTGCTCATGAAATGAATTAGTGTCAAAATAGAGCAAGCAGCTTTTCCCTGAAAAGTAGATTGCAGACGCTTAACTGCTTACTTAGCTTATTTATTTATTTGTTGTTTCTAGGGAAGTATGATAAAATGAACTAATACTATGCTTTAAATATTTACACCATTACACAAAAAACAAAAGTGCACAAAAACTGTAATGTATACATACTTGATAAAGGCTACTAAGGGGACTTAGTTGTCTTATAGGAGTTTAACCATTGCATTCATTTTTCATGTTAAAATGTTGGCATAAATAAGAAAGGATGAAAAAGGTATTTGTGATTTTGTTTTTTACAGCTTCCACCTAAATCATGAGTCCTCTAATTTCCTAAGAAATTACAGAATATTGAGAAATCATAGTAGATTTTTCACTGAGTACCAGAAACTCTGACTACATCTTTTCCATGTGCTTTGTATTTTTTAATTTCTATGAATTTTCTCTCTTAATATCTATATATTATTTTACCTTCCAGGTGTTGGTAAATCATGCTTATTGCTACAGTTTACAGACAAGAGGTTTCAGCCAGTGCACGACCTTACTATTGGTAAGTTTTATATTAATAAAAGAGATGGGAAGCATTGAAAGTTTTGGATAGTTTAAGTGGAAGATGCTAGAGGGACATTTCTATTAGTGATGATTCTGAAATCAGTGAAACTAGATTTGTGACTATGTAGAGTTCAGTCTGTATAACTTTAAAAAAAATATATGTAGTAAAAATGATTACCCAAGTTTGTGAAAATGATTAGATATTAATATGCATGATTTCAGTTGTATTTAATGATGAAACGAATAGTTGAGAAATAGTATAGCATTATGGGAAGGGCAGAGACTCCAGACCAGTTTACAAGTCTCTGCTACTAACTAGCTGGGTAAAGCCACCCTACCAGTCCATGCATACCTCAGTTCCTCTGTCTGTCCAAAGTGAATTAAAGTAATACCAATGGCACAAGTTATCGTGAGCAGTAAATAAGTTAATAAATGTAAAGCATTGGAGTAAAGTACCTGGCAACATGGTAGATACACTAGAGTTACTTGTAATTAATTATTAACCAAAAGAAAATACCATTGGGTATTTTATAGTTTCCTTAGTTGTAAAAAGTAAACAATATAGTTACTGGTAAGAAATAGTTAACAAATATTAATTGTCATTATTTAAAATAGTGATTTTTAATTTCTATTAATTAGCAAATGTAAAATTAAAATGAGTGGAAAATGGAAAATTTAGGTAATTATACTGTTTTAGAGTTTGTTTGTTTTTGAAACAGAGTCTTAAGCTATTGCCCTGGGTAGAGTGCCATGGTGTCATAGCTCACAGTAACCTCAAACTCCTGGACTCAAGCAAGCCTCTTATTTCAGTTTTTCTAATTTTTTGGTAGAGACAGGGTCTTGCTTTGGCTTAGGCAGGTCTCAAACTCATGAGCTCAAGCAGTTCACCCACCTCGGCCTCCCAGAGTGCTAGGATTACAGGCATGATGGAGTTTTTGTTTAAAAATTATACTTAAATTTTGAGAGCTAAAGAACCTCGCTAGATTATTTTTCTGTTGCTACAGCTCATTAACAACTAGAAATTAGTCAAATACCAACAAAGAAAGGAATGGGAAACCTAATTACGCTGTACAACTGATTGTTTAGTGAATCTTTTCAGCCACTGAGATTATCTTCTATTGATGTTATTAAGGTGCCACTTAACTATGTGTATGTATGTATTAAAAAAAATGTTTTTTGACAGAGTCTTACTATGTCGCCCTTGGTAGAGCACTGTGGCATCACAGCTCACAGCAACCTCAAACTCTAGGGGTTAAGCAATTCTCTTCCCTCAGCCTCCCAACTACCTATGCCCGACACAACGCCCGGCTGTTTTTTTATCGTAGTTGGGTTTGAACCCACCAGCATCAATGTATGTGTCCGGCGCCCTAGCTGCTGAGCTACAGGCGGCGAGCCCACTGAATAGTATATTGATTCTCATACTTGTGTATTTTTTAAAATACCAAATCAGGATTAGCTTTTGAATTAAATTATTAGATCAATTAATAATTTTTCATCTACGCCACAGGTACTTTGTGAATATATTGAAATCTTTCATTAGCAAACACTGTCAATAAGAACATCCATATTCCATTTTAATTTTGATAGTTTCAATCATATGCAGTAATGATGGGTAAAACAGGCAGTACTGTTTTATGCTGGTCATGAAACTCTGTTTAACTTTGTGAGCTCATTTCTGTGTAAAATCTGCTCTTTGCTCAATCAGACTTGAAACCTTGGTTGCCAAGTTTAGGTATGACTCAGCCCTAAGACACCTATCCACACAGTTTTTGGTATAAGATACTAAACAAAAGCATTCTTCCCTCTCATTGAATCTTACATATAAATTTCTAAGTTGTGATGGCACACCCAGTGGAGAGGATAGGCCTGAGCTTTTGTCAGAAATGGGCATAGGGGCTGGGCGCCATGGCTCACGCCTGTAATCCTAACACTCTGGGAGGCCAAGGCGGGTGGATTGCCTGAGCTCGGGAGTTAAGAGACCAGCCAAAACAAGAGTGACACCTCATCTCTAAAAATAGCCAGGTGTTATAGGGGATGCCTATAATCCCAGCTACTTGGGAGGCTGAGGCATGAGAATTGCTTGAGTTTGAAGTTGCTCTGAGCTATGATCCCATGGCACTCTATCACCAAGGGGAACAAAGTGAGACTCGGTCTCCAAAAAACAAACAAACAATTAAAAAAAAAGCATTTTTCAAACTAAAGGCTGACCCAGTTATTCTTTCTCTCACCCCTTCCTACCACTGCCACTTATGTAGTATTACATACACTTGCTCATAGGCATTTTGTACAGCTGTTCATTCAGTCAAGCTAAATGAAGGCCAGTGAAAACAGTAATGATTGTAAATTCATGCTTCTGCCTTCATTGGCGCAAAGCCTACATTTTTTTTTATTGGCACCTATCACAACAATTTATTTTTTAGACAGAAAAATAATTAGCAGATTATCATATAGTTTTAAAAGGAACACTGGAATGTTTGCTAAAACAGGAATATCTGTACTCTGCTGAATGCTTGCTTCTGCCTGATGAGTAGGTCGGTGAAAGTGAAAATTTAAGGTTGGATTATGAATAAGAAAGTACTAAATGATAAAAAAGAGAAAAGACCATAAGAGGTTAGGAAGTACTCTAAAATACTCCACCTTTTGACTATCTCTGTCAGTAAGAATTAAGATAAGAATCCGAGAAGCAGTTTGTGGTTTCACAGACATGGTTATGTTGAAAGTCCACACGAGAGCCTCATTGCTCAAAAGATCGTTCATGGGCTGTTGCAGTGGCCCAGCAGTGTCCAAATTGCTTGGGAGCTTGTTATGTAATCTACTGAATTATCATCTACATTTTGACAAGATTTCTAAGTGATTCATATGAGCATTAAAGTTGGAAAAGCAGGAGGGGATGCTTTTAAATATTAATTATCCAGCTAGAAATATATTTTGTCTGCCTTGTGCACACATTTGAGCACATAACCACACTGGCTGGCCTTTCAGTGCCTTTACTGCTTTCTCCAGGGATCTTGCTTCTACCCTGCTTCAGCTACTCACGGGCACTGTCACTTGCAGGACCTTGTCGTTAACCAGCGTCTGGAACCATTCCAGAATTTCAGTTTTATATATCTGGCTATTTTAGTATCCCTCCCATCCTTCCAACTCACTTTCTCGAGTTCCTAGTGTTACCTTTTTTTTTTTCACTCCATCAGAGCTATAATTTATTGATCCTACCATCTTTTCACTCTCATCCCTCTCATGTTCTTTCTTTCCTCCTTACTCAGCTTCACTTCTGACTACTATGCATTTATAATCATTCCTGCATATACTCAGTCCCATTGTCCCTCTCTTGCTTCATCATAGCCTTGGACTAAACCATAGATTAAATTCACATGTCTGTTCTCCATGCCAGATGTATATAGCTAGATGTGGCTGGAGAAAAACACAGAGTCATGCAAACTCTTCTTACAATTTCTTGGACACTAAGAAGTAAACTTAGTACTGCCTGACAAGTGCACTTCACTGTTTCTGTAGAACTCTTATCTCCTACTTTGTTCTTGCTCTTTAAGCATGCAGTGCCTTCTCCATATTTACCCTCAGCTGATAGCCTTGGTGTCTATTTCACTCAAAAAATAGAAGCAAGTAGAAGAGCATTTTCAAACTTTCCACTATCGATCAACCCACTTACCTGCACTGTGTCTATAAACTCAGCCTCTCTTTGCTGCTGTGGGTGAACTCTTTTTTTTCCTCCCAAGGCTTACTCAGGGACACTGGCTTTAATAGTTCTTTGTCTTCTAAGCATCACTAATTTTTTCAGTTTTGATGATTACTTTTCATTACTGCATTTTTTTTCTCTCATTTTAGATTAAAGTTCTCCGAAGTAATTTTCCATACTTGCTGTTCCCAGTTTCTTTCCCCTCATTTCTTTTGTGAATCTGCTCCAGTCAGCCCCTTCCCATATACATCTCCAGCTACTTACTCAACATCTTTCTCAGATGTCCAGGAACTTCTCAAACTTCACATTCACATAGTTTCTGATTTTTTTCTCATGAACATACCCACATACACACCTGTATTCATCCTACCAGACTGATTTATCTTCTGAGCATTTTTTTTTTTTTTTCAATTTTTGGCCAGGGCTGGGTTTGAACCCACCACCTCTGGTATATGGGGCCGGTGCCCTACTCCTTTGCGCCACAGGTGCCAACCTATCTTCTGAACTTTATATACAAGTAAATATAAGTAAGCAAATTATTTCCTACCAATATAAAGTAAGATCCATGACAGCAAATAGTTATCTATTTAGACTATTGTTGTATTCTCAGCACCTGGTAACACAGTGGGGACTCAATAAATATTACTAAATGAGCCAGGCACAGAGTGCCTGTAATCTTAACACCCTGTGATGCTGAGATAGGAGTATTGCTTGAGCTCAGGAGTTCAAGACAAGCCTGAGCAAGAGTGAGGACCCCCGCCCCCAATCTCTACTAAAAATATAAAAACTAGGCTAGGTATGGTGGCTCACTCCTCTAATCCTAGCACTTTGGGAGGCTGAGGTGGGTGGATTGCTTGAGCTCAGGAGTTCGAGACCAGCCTGAGCAAGAGCAAAACCCATCTCCACTAAAAAAAGAAAAACTGAGGCGAGGATCACTTGAGCCCAGAGTTGGAGGTTGCTATGAGCTATGATGACACCATGACACTCTACCCAGGGCAACAGCTTGAGACACTCAAAAAAAGAAAGAAAAACTAGCCAGGTGTTGTGGCAGGCTAGTAATCCCAAGTACTCAGAAAGCTTAGGCAGGTGGATCACTTGAACCCAGGAGTTTGAGGTTGCTGTGAGCTGTGAAACCATGGCACTTTACCCAGGGAGACAGAGTGAGACTCTGTCTCCAAAAAAATAAATAAATAAATATTACTAAATGAATATACTGTCTGTCTGAGAGGAAAGCTTCACAAAGCAGTGTTTACTGGTATAGTGCTTGATGCTTGCATTCCTTAGTTTTGTACTATTCAGTTATG